ATGAAAAACTCAACAAATTTGTGAAGAGCCCTGACTAAGCAGCACAGGTATTACAGCTCATTTCCAGCTCGAGTCCAGCCACTTCTACCCCTTTCAGACTGGAGAAGTCCCAGTTCTGCCCATCCAAAAGCCTTCCAGGGTTCGAAATAGATTAAAGCTCTGCCAAACTCAAGCTTTGGTATCGATTTGCAGCTGAAGCCTAGCATTTGAAGTTGTTAAAAGTCCAGTCCAGCACAGGCGTACCCAGTCCAGCCCAGAACAGAGGCAACTATCCAGACAGAAATGGAAGCGCAGCCCTCTTCTTGTCCTTGTATAGTCAGTTTTTTTTCCCATTTTGAGTCTTGTAAAAGGGAGTTCTGCCTGAAATCGGTTCAATATGTCATCTTTCATTCTGGCCAGAACTACCGGTTTTCGCACTGAGATAAATTGTAAAAGTCCTTACCAGTCTAAGGCATAGAAAAGAACTTACTTGGGAGATATTCCTCACCCAAATTCACAATCGTTTGGTCAAAGTTAGTAGCTTGGGGCGCAAGTTATTTTTACCATAAGTCTGTTAGGGTTGAAAAATTGCTAACAGTGGCACGCTCAACACATAAAGAAAGTCAATTCGCTAACCAAAACATGGTCTTTGAATTAATGGGGAACTTTGCCCTGTCATCTCAGGAAGTAAATCAGAACGGGTGAACAGTTTATACAAATGATAGTCTAAAAAATTATAAATTAATCCTACCTTCCACCTAACGCAACAAGATGATCACGTTGTTGTGTTTGTCAACAACAAAAATGTTGTTGTTCTAGGGTATGATGCATTTATATGTGACTATTAGCGTTGAAATTTCCAATATATATGTGTCGGTCATGTGGAGGAAACATGCCTCCTTGTGCCGGTATTTGCGAATGAGAAAATATATTAGTGTTGTCATAATTAAATGTTCTTTTATCATATATCTAACATATTATATATTATCAAAATGTTAATTTAGACTACAAACATTCAATTAATAGTCCGAATTGGTATACCTTTTGACCGTATGCCCAAATGTGTAGGAAAATTTGGACACCCGTCCACATAGGCACGCGTGATGGATGTGTTTCACTGGACGGCATTGTGGCCTGTAATGATAATGAAGGGAAAACCTCAATTAGTGGAAAATATACAAAATTAGTCAGAAGCTTTGTATTGAAGTTGCTTTCTATTGTAGTTGCAGCCTCAACATCATTTGGTCAAAGTCAATATATCATATATGATCATCAGTAAAGACAAATATTTTATTTTTTTAATAATTTGGCGCACTCGATTTGATTTGCTTAAGAACTATATTCAACACAAGTTGGAGTTTCATGACAGACGAAGACCTAATTTGTAGGCACCACAATTAAAATAATTCGTTCACATGGGTAACACTAATTAACAAAATTTGGACGAGAAGAATTTAAAAATATTCACTTGTTTGACATTAAGGCCAATCTATGCTGATTTTCTAATAAATTGAATTAGGGGAATAAGATGCTATGAACTTCAATATTTTGTCTTCACTCTCTCAATTTTTTATTTATATAACTTTTATTCAATTTGAACTTGGAATTATATGTCACTAGACCAAATTATCATCGACAAATCCTGCTTCTCATTTAAAAAAACAGAGAGTTTCTGTTATGAAGGAAGAGAAAGGGTTTGATAATTAATTAAACAACTATACAATTGAAATTGTGAGATTACACATTTCCAATTGCTATACACAAATATTCATTGGGTGTCTGAGTTTACACAAATCTTTTGATACTATGGCCCTTTGAAAAACTTATGGTTGAAAAACGTAAATAATTTGACCTGAAAAAAACATAAATAGAACTTCAATGGTAGTTAGAAATAAAAGTCTTCATCATAAATAGAACTTCAGTGGTAGTCTTCAACGTATATAGATAAAAGGAAAGTTTAAAAATTGGATGCATTGATAGACATGAGCTTAGTCCAATTGGCTAAAACTGATGTGTTCCTCACTCATCAGCATAATTCAAATCCCTATCCAAGTATTTAGATTAGATTTTATTAAAATATCTCTTGAATAAAAAATTAAATTTAAAAAAAAACTGGACATATGGATTAAATGTAACAACCACGTCACATTAAAGTAATTATGTTAGTTCCATTATTTACAAAATTGTCATCTTGTTTAGTGATCACCCTGAGAAATTTCACTAATGTGGATAGATTACAACTTTGATTTACCAATGAAACCCCCTTAAAACATTACCCTCACAATCTTTTTCTTTCACACTTTGATGCACTTGTGAACTCTCTCACACTTCTCTCGCACACTTTGCACTTAAGCTCTTATTGCTCCCTTGCATCTGCTCCTCTCAAAACATGTTTCACTTAAATTGCTCCACACACCACATAAACCTAAAATCACCACTACTAGAAAAACGCTCAACAGGTACCCTTTTATTGGAGACTAAAATAAAAACAGTCTCTAAAGAATGCAATTAGGGACTGATAATAGAAATAGTCTCTATAAAATGATAAAAGTGACTGATTCAATAATTTTTCATGACTAATAATTTTAAAAACTCGGAAATCCGTACCTTCAATACTAAAGAAATTATATATAATACTTTCATGTCAGATATATATTAGAAAATAAGGCACTGACAAATTAATCAGTGACTAAGTTCTCCACCATTTCCAGTAGTGGGCCTAGCTTTGCAATGCTTACAAGGTCTTGAATTTCTCCATTCATTGACAATTGATTTTTGAGTTAGATGCTCATATTCTTATATGATATTAGAGCATGCTATATCCATGTGTCAGGCCTAATGGTCACATCCTCTCACGTTACATAATAAGAATTTTCCACGTGTAACGTGCTAGTTGCAAAAGACGCCATATGTGAGAGGACCTCCCACTCATTGACATTTAGTTTTGAGTTGGATGCATAACTTGAGCAAAATAATACTCTCCATTGTTATTACCCAATTAGGATCTAACTAGTGAATTAGAAAACACATCATCTAATTATCAAGAAGCCTCACAAATCATGATTACATTTTAATATTTTATTAGAGCTTTGTCGCAGTTTGAGACTAGTTGCAAAAGACGCCATACGTGAGGGGCCCCTCCCCCATTAGCAATTAACCCGAATTGGTTATTGTAGGGCTTTCCCATTTATCCTCCATTTGTGATATCGCCACTCCTTGATGTTTTGTGACGCATATAACAAAACATTTTTGTGTTAAATATGTATTCTTGACAACTTTGGAGAACTTATAAATTTTGTATTTTCTATAAGTTGATGAAGTTCTTCTTGAATTAATTTTATATTTTCTATATGTCTGGTTAATTGCTTGGCTTTCAAGTTTGGTAAAGTTCTTCTTGAATATTGTGATTTGAATGAGCTTTGTTGTTGCAAGTCAGCAAAATAACGGAGTTTTTGACGGAACCTAACGGCAGGGACCATTTGTGATCACACACTATGTTGCACG